TAAATGTAATTCTAAATGGAAAAAACGGTACAGTACCACACGTAAATCATTAAACTTATGATGGCATCAAAAAATTTATTGCCATATTTGGCAATCTTGCATCACATAAGTATTATTACACACACGTGTCTCAGGCTTTTTATAGTGCCCAAAATTGATATTCCTTCCGCATTCGTACTCTCTTTTCGTGCAATTTTCATATGCACGCACCTGAACGTTTTTGGAAAAATGGCTTTTCTACAAATATCCAAGGCAACAGGGAGAAAAAAGAGGCCGAAAGAGCAATGTACAAGTACAGTCCACAAGTTACTTCCATGTGGTTTGCCTACATGTTCATAGGATTAAAGTACAAACACCAGACGCGACCTTGCAATGTTACAGTTTTCAAGGATTTTCATTTCTCCCTCCACTACGCATGCATTTCACCAGATCGCTGGGACCGTAACTCTCATGTATCATGTACATGTATATCGGTTGTTTCATATCATGGTTTCTTTGGTGCTTGGAAACGTTGTAAGAAACTGAGCAAGCTCACTGTATATGACTTGTTCACGACGATACTATAGTGTGTCGGGAATTTGGGTCAAGTGAGAAAATTATAGATCTCATGAGCTGGCAAATCGCTGAGTGCTGTATATGAATAGCTGAAGCTTCTGCTTACATCAAATCTGTGAAATAATTGGCTTTGCAGTATGAAGGGATGGAACTTCGTTGGTGGTGTTAAGTGAGAGCTTTGAGACGCAGGTGGCAGCAGGCATGCCAATCCCTTTTGCCAGTACATGGGCTCGGGGATGTCGTTCTGAACATGCGTACTTCTGAGCGACTGCAGAAAAGAACAGGTATTTAAGTTTGAAACAAATAAATGAGAAATTGGCTGAACATTATTACGTGACACGAGGACTGAAGAGGGTCTGTATGCTTATGCAAACAAAAAACAAGCATTTCTGAAGCAGACCAGTGCCTGACAATGTATTTTCTTGCCTAAGGTTGTAAGGATTGAGATAGTGATATTGGAATTATTGTGTGCGTGTGTGTACCGGGTGCCTCGATTAAGCTCCATATAGGGTTAGTATTGGCCTTGAAAGTGCCACATATATATAATATTTAATATATTATATAATATATAATGATTATACTTTTTCTCGGAAAAGTAAATCTAAAGAGCTTTCACAGAGAAGACATAAATGGTACTCTTACATTCTTGCAAATTAAAATCGTTATCTGGCGTTATCACAGCTCTCTTTCACTTCAATATATTTTAATCCAATGCGGTTTTGAAGTATTTTGCTTGATCAAAAGGAAAGGAAGTTAAGACTGCTTAGTTAAAAAAGGGGAAAAAGACAGAAAAATAGATAGTTTGTATCCAAAAGGAGGTTTAGATTCCAGTTGAACAGTGGATAATATTATGACAGGAGCTCGGGTGTTGAAATTGTGTTAGGAATCAAAACAATTTCATCTCGAAGCTGAACACTTTGAATACGACAAAAAACAAGTGTTTACTCGGTATGTATTCCTACTGAATATTATTTGCAAACGTTTTTACAATTTTATTTTTTCCATTCTAACGTCTCAGAGATTTGTCGCAAATTCACTTTTTTCTTTACTTCTGATACATGAAAACGTAAATTGGTCCAATTTTTCCTGTAACTTTGCTCTTTCCTGGGGAAAAAATCATCCAGTTCATAGGGGACTGTGGAGGTTTATTTAAAGTAAGCAAAACTTTTACTTATCTATTGAGGGCGCCATACTTAAAAGTACATCCGTGCATCGATTGAGTCATGAGGGCGCTGTTTCCTTTAAATTGAAAATGTCCACTGTGGACTCAACAGAGGGCGCTGTTAACAAATTTTATTCTTACGAAAGAGGGCGCTATTCACTCGGTCAATAGAGGGCGCTAAATATAAGCTCAAGAGAGGGCGCTACCATTTTATTTATTTTTTTCAACTGAGGAAGGTCAAAGCCGTGTCGGAAACGAGCTTCCAGAGCTACGGCTAGGTCTATTGTCTACGCGTCTCCACACATTCCCAATGGAGCGAAGACTTGGACGTAGCTCTAGACCACAGATTGGGATGCAGCCCAAGATTAATAATACGAGTGATTCACAGTATAATAGTGCGCCTCCAAAAATTTGCGACGCGCTGGCCAATCACAATGCGTAAAATCTGTCGACCCTTTCCAGACCCGCACTTGGTCGACAGATTTTGTGATTGGCCATGAAACGCATTGCAAACTCTTGGAGGCGCACTCTTGTGAATCACCTCTAGTTTATCCAATACGTACAATACTCGGTAGTTTGTATACAGCGCGCGGTATGTATGAACATCAGACAAAACTTACGCGAGGAGAGACGACCTCTTCTGGAGGTAGGCTCTTATGAGGTGGTGCAAATACTCTTTGCAAATCATGAAATGTGAATTTCACTACTATCATACTTTACTTTAGTTTTACCTTATTGTTTTCTATTATAAATTAACAGTTTTTTATTCAAATTTAACTTTAAGTCTTTATTTTATGGATCAATTTTAGTGAGCATATTTTTGTGTTGAATTTAATGTATAAACAGGGCCCTTTAGGAATAGCAGTTCTTTTCATAACTGATGAGGCTACCCTGTATAAATAAAATAGATAATAATAATCTTTTTATAGCTTGCATGCAGTTGTTGCTCGAGCACATGTACATTGTCAGAGACGTGCATGACTATTGCCATGCATGGTCCCTCCGATCCAACTGGAACATCACTCAATTCAGGTCAGATCTGTCTCCTGAATGTACATGTAAATGAATTTTGAACAGATGTGATGTTATAATGTGGCAGCTGATTCCAGTCCCTGGTTTTTGTACCAGTAGACCTACTTGTAGGGAATGGTTTGTAGCGGGACCTTTAAAATTAGCACTGTTCCTTTAATGTGCTTTATATATCCATGAGTTCAAAGGTCACACTTTGCCCTGCTCTTTTGTACCTGCATCACACACGTGAAGTTGTTAGTACATGCTCAGATTCTGTAGATTGTTCGCCATTCATATCGGATGATTACAGGCTATGGTCATCACTCTTGTTAAGTACCAGTTTTTATGATTCTGTATCTTGAGCACTGCAATCATTAGACTTCAAAATGAGGTCGAACTAGGCTTTTCTGTGCTTGAATCACTTTTTAAGGGGCATTGCCAAGGTTTCAGCAAAGAAATCCAGTCATACCACTGTTTGCTTTGGACTACTGTGTCAATGTGAGTATTCCACGTACGTCCTACGTACATGTACTTTGTCGTGTTTTGATATGTTGACAGTGTGATTACGAGGGTTGAAATTAACCTTTTCTTTCCACTGGTCCTGCTGAAAGTTTGGTGGGCCTTCTGTAACGGGAAAAATAGCACTCTATGGGGAACTCGCAAAACACCAAACCTCTAACTAAACCAAGGATCTTTGAGGGAAAGGTTGCAGGAAACTGAATTAATAAGGACTGGGACACCAATATTTGACTAAAACAAAAGGACACAAAAGAAGGTGTTAATGAAAAAGTACAAAAAGAACTTTGAAAGGACTAAACCCCAAACCAACACAGTGTGTCAAAATGGACTTAATGAGGAGAGTTAAGTTTGCGATCACTGACTCATAGATGCAGACAGAAACCTGACGCAAGCAAAAATAACTTCTTGCAGTCAAGACTAGGGGCATTCACAAAATGAGTGGAAAAGGCTTAGATTTCCATTTCGCTTGTTCCAGTCAGGTCTGGAACATGTTGTTTCGAACGCTGCTTTCAAAATGACTGGGACCAGTGAAACCAAAGTCATAGAGGGGTGCAGTGCTGCAATTCAAGGAAAATTCTCTGCCAGGCCGAGGTGCATAAAAGGTTCTTTCGAAAAGAGGGGTCTGTTTGGGCCAAGAAACTGTTGGACTGTCTCAGTATGGCCCAGGATCATCTCTCTAGATTCAGGGGTACCCATCTAGGGGCAAAGCAGACAAAAATGTGATTGAAACTTTGTCATACATGTAAGAGCCCCAGGAAGGTGAGGGATGTCATGTGAAAAATGGCTGCTGAGAAGACTTGGGAACATTCACTTTTTTGGGGGGGGTGAGTTTGTTTTGGGCAGATAATTCAAAACTTTATTGGTTAATCTACTAAAAATTGAAAATCAAATGAAATATGAGGGACCATACAACATATTGCTTTTTGTTTGAGAGGCTTCAGGGACTTTAGTTGCCTGCCTTGGAGCTCCAAACTTTGTTGATTTTTCACTATAGATTTCAGTGGAGCTTGAATTGGTTCAGTGCACCCAGAGTGTTTTCGAAGAGAGTGGATTCGGCTTAGACTGTAGTTTCGCTGGTTCCAGCCATTTTGAAACAGCGTTCAAAACCACATGTTCAAGCTCTGACTGGAACCAGTGAAGCTGAAGTCTATGCCAAAACCCCTTGTTTTGAAAATGCTCTACATGTAGGTTAGCCCAGTGCGTGGTGCGCATGTGTGGCAAAAACTACAATTTGGATCGTTCTTATGTCGTGCAGCTTCGTACATGCAGCACATGAAAATATAACCGGATCCACTACACTACTAATTTGGGTAATATGAACACAGATCTTTTTTTTTTAAGTTTCTTCAGTATTTTATTAAATTTGTCAAGTATATTTTGTACTGGCCCACCGGATCACCAGTTTTCTTAGATTAGCTGGTCCACCGACTTTTCTGCTTGCCTTGGGCCAGTGGACCACCTTTAATTTTGACCCCTGGATTAGACAGTTTATACGAATTTCCAATAGTAGCTTTTCTCTTTGTGAAACGTACGCTGCTTTTGTCAGGTTTGAAGGATACCAGCCATTCCTCTCTCAGTCTTCAAGCTGCTGCAGGTCTGTTTGAAGGATCTCACAGTCTGCTGCTGTCCTGCTGATATAATAGGACAAGACAATCATCCACGAACGGACATACATGTACTTGGGATTTAATCCCATCAGGGACATCTTTAATGTACAGGAGAAACAGGAGAGGTCCAAGAACGATGCCCTGAGATACTCCAGACAATACCTCAACAGGAGTTGAAGATGCGCCTTGAAGAACAACAGTTTGATGCTTCCCAGTGATCAAATATCAAAGGTAAATAAGGGACCTTCAGTGCCGAAATAATTGAGCTCATGAATGGCATCAACCTGCTTAAGAGACTCACTAGATGAGATGTAGCCATGAGTTGAGTTTCACAAGACCTTTTTACTCTAAACCCATGTTGACAATGATTCGAAGCATGGAAACGATCAAGATGTTTCACGACATGGCTGTAAATTATATGCTCAATAACCTTGCAACATATAGAGGTTAAGGAAACGGGCCTTTAATTAGATGGATCAGTATGACTTCCGTTTTTGAAGATAGGAGCAATATTTGCCATAGATCAATCAGCTGGAGCAAAACCGGTGGGGAGACTTTGACTGAATATCTTTGTAAGCACAGGGGTGACTTCTGATGCACGTGTCTTCAAAACGAAAGGGTGAATCCCATCTGGACCAGGGGCCTTTTGAGGAACCAAACTGTTCAGAAGTTTAAAAATGCCATCAGGTTGGATTTGAAGTGGCAGAATTGAAGGGTGTTTTAGTGCCAAAAAGCTTGGGAAAGTGAAGCAGAACCCTCCGTGGTAAACACTAATCTATACCGATGAGTAAGTGCCTCGGCCTTCTTCACAGAGCTAACAAGATTTTTTCCACTGCACCAAGCAGAGATGCTTGTTGATTCATGACGTCTATTCTTTATGAAGGACCAGAATTTCTTTGAATCTGTACAAAGTGATTCAAACATTGTGGAGAGGGAACTGTGTTCCGCTTTCCTTAATTGCCTGTGAACACATTTCCACAGATGAGGATATCCATCCCAGTTTTATACGATGATTACTTTTGGTTTTTGTCATGTAAAAGGCCCTGTTTTTTTCTCCAGACAAGTCATTTGAGAGATTGAGACATCCAAGGGAGATTCTTACATGTACGTGTATATGCTAATAGGATATACATGTATGCATCCGTACCTGAAAGAATAGCCAATTTCAATCTGTTCCAGTTCTCTTCAACTGACGTCGTTTCTGCATCCTCCAAGAATGAGTCCGCCATGTGTTTTTTTTTATTTTGCCATTTACCTGTGATAACCAATCAGACTTGACAATAGGTGGCAAAATTTGGGACCTGACAGTGATACTATATGGTCATGCATGTTAGGGCCTTCAGCTTAGACCTATTTGCCTAGGCGTGCTATAGCCTAGGCCTCTCGTCTGCATGGCATGATGACTTTAAAAACATGAAGCAGTAGGGCCTGTGTAGGCCCCCTTCCAGCTTTTTTTCTTGTACATTAACATGTACGTGTGTAAACTTGACAAAGCGACGTTAAACCATGTACATAGCTGAAGTTCTTTAATAGAGACACTGTGTTCAAACAATGAGGTGAAAACAATATACATGTAGGTCTACCTCAACACGGTGTGGTTCTTTGTCTGCCGTGCTTCTACCTTGACAAAATGGAACACAAGTCCTATATTATTCAGTGATGTTGGCCCATATGAAAATACCCAACATGAGCAAACTGCAGGTGTTTTACACAATGATTTGCAAGTTTATGGCGAATCTTCCTGAGTGGACTGGATATTTCCATCTAGTTGATTCATACATGTACAAAAAAGCCAAAACTTTCACATGGCATAATGATATATGGCACATACATGTAATGTCTGTCTAGAGGGTTGATTAATCCTTATAGTTCTGAGGGTAGCGGGGGTTGGTGGAATGAATTGGTATCCTGGATGTTATATACATGTAGTAGAGCCCAGGCCCCTGACACCCCACAATAGCCCTAAAAAAGTGTCCAAACCCTCAAAGGTACTTGTGTCAGAAGCCCTGCCAAGTGGTTTGCCTGTCAATCATAACAAGATCAAGCAGGTCGATTAACCTGAAGGCCAAAACGGCCAGGAAGTCTGTGATTACCAGCCACCACAGGATCCAACAGGTTAACTCTCCCCAAGACCAAACGGCCTGGGAGTCTGTGCTTGCCAGCCA